ACGTGTTAAGCCATTATGTTTGTGCATGTTTTACGTGTTAGAAGCTAAGAACGCCCAAAAATAGCTTTAAGGAGTAACAGCTTGCGATGGTTCAGTCACATGCCAGGGGTCTAAAAAGGTACGCACCCAAGAGTGCGCTTCACATAATATGACCGTAATTCTGATGGGCACTGACCTGACCAAACTAAAACACTGTGTTATCTGAACTGTGTGATCGCCGTCACTCACCGGTCGCCTTGAAGCATACAGTAATAAATTCCTTGTTCAAGGAAATGAGCAGGTAAGAGGTCAAATTTACGTAGAGCTGATATTTTCAGCACGGAGAGCCGAATGATACGACACTTCCTGGCAAAATCAGTTTCGAAAAATTTAATGAAATTCTAAAATACTATGATAGTGACATGAAAATAACATATTCACAGTACCCAATGACATGACTCTTCGTTGGCGTCTTTCCAAAAATCTGGAGACACTAATAATAATCAAGTACTCATAATAATTAAGTAATAATAATAAGATAAGATCTCACGAGAATTCACCATCAAAGTCAAAATTGTTCTGAGAATGTCTTGACCATATTTAATACTTAATGAGAAACGCTAAGTGCGATGAAGAACTGAGCATAATTCAACACACATTTGATACCAACTATATCTTCACACTACACCAAGTCATCGAGCAACGTTCTCGGGTCCAGTTAACCTGTTACTCACCTTCGTCCTCCACCCAGCCTAATCATATACAGTTTCATTTGACTACCGTCATATAATATGGAAGACCTCGCGCAACTTTCGAAATCCACAGTGGATCGTTTCCGTACTGAACACCGTATGCAATGAAACTCTTAGCGTTAATAATACCGGGTAGTAATCATGGGCTGATTCGCAAATGACAACAGATGTCTGACAGGGAAAACAGAATGATGTACCATCAAGAATGCTCTTTAGCATAAAAGAGCATCACAGCATATGAAGCAGTCGGAACGGTACTGCGATTAAAGCCTAATGCTTGAAGTAAAACGAATATATCGAGCTGACAGGCTTAAGTGCAGCGAAAGTGAAAGTGAACCAACCGAAAAGAAAAAGATAGCACACGTTGTTGAGACATGGATGGTGACATCAGGATATCAGTTTCTCAAATCCTCAGAAGACTATTAATAACTGCCTTCACAGTAGCACATGAACACCGGCTGAACAGTTACCAAACAACAATGGCCGCGACGCAGCTGAGGATATAAGGTGCTACGGTCAACCAACCGCGTTCTGACAGCAACTTACCTATGGCTATATCAGAAGTGCTCAGAAAAAATTGACATGATTCCACTCTTTACTGACATTCAGCCAAAATTCACCACTCATCAGCTGCTAATCCAGCAATCCCAAAATGGAAAGAAGTAGTCTGTAGCAGGTATATCACAAGCAAAAGAAACGGATCTGAGACTTGTCATCAGTGAGGATTTTTTCCTGCTGACGCATTTAGCAAATTATAATAAAACACTGAGGCTAGTTTAAACAAATCTTAAATAGCTTGCGATTCGGCTATGCTGTTAAAAATGACAATAACAAAAACAGGTGGAGACTGTATTCCAGAACTTTGTGATTTCGCAAAAAATTCTAAAGTTTTGCCCGATGTAGTACGGTGAACGGCAGGTGAGCGATGAATAAAACTGCACATTAAACTTCATGCGAATAAACCAAACTTACGAGCGACTGCGGGAGAGTTCAATCAGCTCTTGGCTTCTAGATGTGCTAGTTGCATCGCTGTTCGTTGATTCATTGCAAAGGGCTACAGAAGACAGTGCCTTCTGCTTTTGCACAGTCTGTCGCCGAAGTTTCTCGCGACGTTGCAACTCGACCTCGATCTGCTTAACATCCTGATTTTCCATATTTCGTAATTTCTGTTCTTCCAGCTGTTGAGCATCCAACTCGCTTGACTTCAGTTGCTGCTGATGCCGTATCATGCCGTCGTAGAACGACTGATACTCAGGAGGCCGATTTTTGTCGCAAAGAAATTCCTGAATCGCTTCGCACAACTGGAATAACATCTCCTGAAACAGGAATATACGGGGCACGGTTTAAAAATGCGACCTGTTCGCAAAATTCATAGTTTTCAGCTTTCAACAAACCTGTCCTCTTAGCTGTTCCGCTAAGTCGTCTAAATGAGCAGCCAAAAGTTTCAGATCCGCTTCGCAAACGCCCTTCGCTGCGGTGAATTTGATCAACGGTAATCTAAAATTCAACTTAATAAAAGAAATACGTTTAGTCTTCGCTGCAAACGAACTGTTCAGGATAGAGTATCGGAAGCATTACGTGCATCTCAACCATCGCGTACACCTCTTCAGCAGTAATGTCCATGCTTGACGGATATAATTTTAGTTTGAATTCCGGCGCCCTCCAAACCTAGAAATTACACACATTAGTGCAAAGATCGGTGACAGGCAAAATATTTACTTTCCAAGTGTCCTTTTTACGTAGATCCTCGAAGTCGTTACGCAAGAAAATCGCCTCCAAAACTTGTACCTCTTCATCCATCCGCGCCCTCGAGTCATTTGTCTCCGTCGTACTCTCCATTCGATCTCCCCTCGTTCAAACTTTTAACGGAAAGATTAATGGAGGGCGGGAGAAGGCGCGAGTTACGCACCAATTTACATTTTCTTCCTTAACAAGCACATCAATTTTATGTACAACAAACTGCAAAAAGAAATAAAGATTATTACTGATAAGAAAATTACCGAATAACCGTATCTCTTTTGATACGGATTGAAGCGGCGTAATAGAACCGCCGAACTTCGTAAGTAAACATAAAAAATGTTTACTGACGAAGGATACTGCTGCAGCAACAATGAAAAATTTCGGGAAAATTTTATTGTCATAATGGAAAAGGATGAGCATCCCTGCAGCTAAGGAGGATTATCAGGGATGATAAAAAAACCTGGTGCCCTTAATTCGTTACTTTATCGTACGTCTCATGACAAACAAGACTCTAACAGATCTAGCACATGACAACGGTGATCACATAACAGAGCAGTTGAAATACGGAGCGAAATGAAAACAAAATGAGTACTTTCATGTCAAAACCGATCTGCAATTTGATGAGTATTGTTCAAAAATATAGTAAATCCACTGTGAACCAAAACTGGCGGATAGAAATAAACATAGCATTACGTATAGGAGAAATCTGCAGAAGGAAATGCTACGAAAATCAAGACGAACCATTCAACATTACACGTGGCAGCACAAGGCATTTTTCGCAACTGATCACTTACAATCACTCACAAACTATGCCGTTGCCAGTCACAAGTCAGGTTGAGAAACAAGGAGAGTTTGAGATGGTGGCGAAGTCTAAGTAAAACTTAGTCACTTGTCCTTCATGGCATTGACGTCATCGAAAATTATCGCCCAGGCTACCAAGGGCCGCGCAGGCTCTTGCAGGACTGAGGCTGGCTGCGAACAGTTGGCGAACAGAAGCTACCAGGGTCGTAGCAGCACAACAGCGAGTGACGAAAATCGACGAAACGAAGAAGATACCAGTCAGAAACGGAGTCGCTGCCCGTTCTGAACATAAGAGGCAAACAGCGCGATACCATTATAGCACGTCAGAAACGGCTCCCCGAGAACGACATCGCCAGTGAGAACTTACCGTCAGAAATTGGAATATATCCTCACTCAGAGGGAAAGAGCAGGAACTAGTTGATGAGGCCAAAATGTAAGAAGGTTATAGAATCCTGAACCTCTGCAGGTGGAAGCTATTCTATCCAGGTGTTGATATCACGAGGCGGGCTCAGGCCGATGTTGGTGCTCTGGCAGATCCCAACATGACTGAAGGAATCATTGAATGGAAGCCTATCAGCGGAAGGGTGGAAGTCCTCCAACTGAAGCTACAGCAGGCTAAAGCGATGATTTACTTACAAGTCAGTGCGCATAATTTCGAGGGAGAATATGAATCTTTCTTGAGGAAGCGGATTGTGCTCTATACGAAGCGCCGAATACGGAGTTCCACATATCCATGGGCGATTTTAATGCGCATGTCGAAGCAGAAGCTGAAAGCTGGAAAGGCATGATTAGAAAGAACGATCTTAGCGGCCTCAACAATAACGGCACAACGTTAATGCGGTTTTGTTCAAACAACAGACTGGCCATTATGAGAACTCTATTCGAGCATCGAAGCGTGCAACAGCATACCTGGTAAAGGAAGCCCGGGCAACGAAGTAGCAAATGATCGATTTGACAATAGTATCGTCAGACCTATGAACCTCTGCAATGAATGTTCGCGTTGAAAAAGACGAAGAGCTGTCAACCGATCACCACCTAGCTGTTGGCACTTTACGCTATAAGAAATGGAGTACCATACGAAGATCTGACGGCAGAAGCAACCAGATAATCAAATAGGAAACATTATCTTCAGTGGACACGAGAGCAAAATTTGCAAACAACACCGCAAGACGGTTTGAACAGATCCCGATGATGACCGTTGTTGTGGAAACCGAGTGGGAGCTCTTCAAGAGCGGCATACTCGAGGTTGTCGCCCCATGCAGCGGATTGAAACGAGTTGGCCTGCAGCCTGGAGGTCAGAAAAAAACTTACTGGTGGACAAGAGAGGCAAAACTGGCAGTTAAAGAGAAGAGTAAGAGTATGAAGCAAAGATCCTTCTACTTGCATGCGATATGCCGCAGCATGCAAGGATGCGTGAAAGCTGTGTCGAAAACCAAAGTTGATTCCTGGAGAAGTTCGGTAAGGTGTTGGAATCGAATTTCCATACGGCACACAGGGTATTCTGGCAGACCATTCGCCGGCTCCGAGATGAAAAGATAGGCAGTCTAAAACAGTTGATTGAAAGGATTGGTCACCCTCTTACCGAGGATAAAGACATTCTTCACTGATGGACAGAGTACTTTGAGGAACTTCTTAACAGAGGAAGAGAAACCGCAGGAAGCCTCGCCTGTAAAGCAGCAGAGAACGGATATTGCTAATTCTGAGGATGAAGTTGCACAAGATGTGAAAAGCTTTAAAAGTAGAAAGGTTGCTAAAATCTATAAAATCCGTCCTAAAATGCTCAAGGCATCAGGCGTATATGGCATGTGCTGGCTTACACGCGTTTGTCAGACTGCAGCGGCTATGGGGAATACATCAGCGGACTGAAGAATCGGAGTTGTGTTAACCATGTTCAAGAAGAGAGAACACAAGTAGTGCTCCAATTATCGGGGCATTATCTTATAGAGCCTGCCAGGAAATGTCTACGTAAAAGCAATAGAAAGGCGTCGCGAAATTACTGACTCCAAGATACAAGAAAAGCAGTATGGCATGCGGCCCGGTCGATGCACCACATATTTGCCGTGCGCCAGACTTGAGAAATCATGAGAGTTCGCCCATCCTAGAGAAGGCCCATAGCCGTATT